CACAACGCAATCACGAATGGTTAACGCAACCACGAATGGATAACGCAACCACGAGTCGGCACAACGCAATCACGAATGGTTAACGCAACCACGAGTCGGCACAAGATGAATGAGCAAAAGCGACTGTCAACCACGCAACCACGAATCCGCACAAAATGAATGAACCAAAATTACTGTTCAACAGGGGTCAGCACTGCGCGCGTCCAGAGAGGCCAAGCCGGCAGCTCGCGTGATCACGCCCTGGGTCCGCGCCCTCAGCCGGGGTAGGCTCACCGTGCCATCGCCGAACTGGATGACCATCGTGGAAGAGTTCGAGGTCATCTTCCAGTTGATGATGGGTGCTACCGTCGACGGTCAGTCCGGTATCGTGCAGAGGCTGCTGGCGGCACTCCAGGTAAAGCGTCCATCTCTGGACGCCAGGATCGCGAGGAAGCTGGTGACGACGCGGGTCCACCTTCGGATCCGCTCACTAAACCAGCGCCAGGACGAAGTCGTAAGCACAAGTGATCCGCTCCTCGCGTAGGCCGGCCTGGCTCCCAGTGATGGTGCGCCGGGAGCTGCTCGCTGCCCGGCTGAACTGTCTGACAGCCTCAGAAGACAGAAAGTGACGGCGCTCTCCACACTGGCGAGTGATGCCGGGGTAAAGATGTCGGCACTGGACGCCGCCGGCAGACGCAGTGCGTTCTCCATCTGATTCAGCTGCTTCCTGCCGATTTACCTGAAACAAAGTCAAGTGAAATCAATGATCCTTCTTACCTAAGTGGTGGCCTGAGCTCTGCAATACGTGGACGTATCAATGGCCACAAAATCTATCTAATTAAGGTGCTGTTTAAATAAAGATAGAATTAATAGTGAATAGTGATTGTTGAAATGGCGACGGTCGGTGAGCTTAAACTAATGTAAAGTGGGAAACCCCAAAATTTAGTGTGTACAATATCTTAGCGCGAGCACCACTGAACATTACGTCAGCTCGCGCAATTTGATAGCCGCGTGCTGCTATCACCGGTGAAACAGGGCCCAGGTTTAGAGCCTTGCCCACAGTGTCCACTCAAGTGATTCAGAGGTAAGCTTAGTCTGAGTCTGATTGCAACATCATTCTCAAAGCTAGCATCTGAGTGTATTCAGTCTCTATCAAAACTACTGATTGCTGGAACCCTTGGCCCTGTTTCACCGGTGATAGCAGCACGCTACCTACTATCAAATTGCACGAGCTGACGTAATGTGATGAGGTCACACTAATGACGTTTCGTGCAATCTGTGAGCTTCGTTTGGACCAGAGTTGCTGTCTCGTTGAATTGCGTTTGATACATTTGTTTGATCGCATGGCCGTGAAGATGCTAGCAGCAATATTTGATGACATCACACAGATTGACTGAGTCATGCTTTGTTGATGTTTCCATGGAAACCCAATTTGACACGTGTAATAGCAGCGTGCTGCTATCACTGGTGAAACAGGGCCCTTGTATTGACAGTTCAAGCACCTAACAAAGAAAATATCAAATTCAATTATCTCCTCACCTTGATCTATCACTCAGAGATGAGGACGCTCCCTCAGTGTTGATGATGTCCTGCGCAAGGGACTTCATCTGTCGGCGATCACTCCTTGAAGCCCGAGTGCTTTGTTGCGCCGGTCTGTGAAAACACCATTTACATCAACATTCAAATAGGGCACAACTTCAGCGAGCTGCTTTGAGCATTGGTGACTGATGCACAGATTATATTTGATATGCAAAATGTTTCAAGTATCATGCAAATATGTCGGTAGCGGTACCTAACTTGGTACCTACCTGCTTACTAGCAACCTAATTTACAAATTAATGTGTCATGGTACATATCTGACAAGCGCACACAGTCACAGTGCAAATCCAAAAGCAAATATAAATTTGTTACAATTTCCATCACAATAAGAAAGATTCGAATTAGTACATTACCAACTGAATAGTTGGCATTCATATCAAATCCATTAAAATGAAATACATACCCCGAAGACCCAGCACTGCGCAGATTCTGTGTTGGAACCGCATCAGTCTTCAGACATGGGCTCACACCTGGCATCAGGGATGCTTTCACAAGGTAGGAAGGATCATAATCTGAATCAAGAAAGTGGTCTGAGCAAGTCCTTGCCTGCAACACATTTATAGGATCCTGCCTCGAACATCTATGCACCCAGGTTGAGGTCACACATGTCAATGTGGCTGGATCCTTCGGGAACCGAAAAAACGATTTTGTGCAGAACTTGCCAGTCCTTCGGTAACTTCGGCATGTAGCCACCGCACAGTACGACATCCTGAATCAAGTCCTGAATCATTCAATCAATTTAAGTTTCAATGGTTTCAAACAATCAACTCGAGGGTACAACCAAGGTACAACACAAGCAAGAAACAGGAAATGAACTTGTTTACAACCGTGAGTCCGTGACCCTCAAAATCGAATTCAAGGCCAAATTTGCGGGGAAGGCCAGCTGAGAAGTGTCCGGTCCGCTGACGTCACGGGTAATGTTAAAGATCCGGGTGCCCGGCAAATAGGAAAGCTCGGGATGACAGCCCCCTGGGTTCGGGAGCTGCGCGACAGAGCGATCACATACTATTCGAATTATGCATTAAAGAGAATAAAAAACACGTGAGAACAATCATGATACACTAGCTGCTAAAATGAATTAAAATGGGGTGCTAAAATGCATAAATGGCACGTATAAAAATACAATAAAGGGGGGGGGGGAAACAGGATACCTATGGTGATAAAGACTGAGTAGAAAAGACTATACAAAAATGAGTGCAAAAACTGTAAAAGGACGAGTACAAATATAAATACATACAAAGGCCGAACTAGACGTAAACACTACTGACAAAAACGGCGGATTATCGGCAGCCAGCGGTCATGCAGCAGGGCACCCGAGTTCCTGTTCACGTTTGCGTCATTCGGCGACACCAGGACGGCTTCACGCCGACCAACAGTCCGAATATAGGCCGATTCCAGGAGAAGTCGCATCTGGTGATGACTGGCTCGATTCAAGATCTTGATGGCATCGAAAGCAGGTGAGCAGTCTCTATGGGTACTGAAGGCCGATGTATTGGCTCTCGAGCGGACTGCTCCAGTCCAGCTCTCCCGGTGTTCTCGGAGTCTCGTGCCCAGCTCACGATCTGTCTCGCCGATATAGACCATTGGGTCACCGTCCACTTGGCAGGAGCACTCGATCCGATAGATGACGTTGCTCTGTTGTAGCTTAGGCAGATGGTGCTTAGCCTTGCTGCAGAGCAGCGAGCCGATGGTGACTGAAGGCTTGGAGACGAGCTGGATCCCGATCTTGCTGGCCTCCCGTTTGAGTTGGTAGAACAGGGGGCCGGCAAACGGAACAGAGACTCGGACAGGCGCCGGGTGTGAGTTCGCGCTAGGTGGCGCTGGTAGGGCCCTTGCCTTCAGTCTGAGATCGGTCCGAGTCTTCTGAATGGCCGAGTCGATGAATGATCGTGGGTAGCCATGATGATGAAACTTCTGGCGGATGAAGTCAAGCTCCTGCTGGCGGTCTCTCATGGACGAACAGTATCGGATCGCTCGAGTGCAGTCAGATCGAATGGCCGCTCTCAGGTAGCGGGTCTCGGTGTAGGAGCTGAAGGCAGGCACTTGGTTGGTGTTGCAGGACTTCCTGTAGACCTTGGTGCAGAACTTGTCGTCTCTTCTAGTGATGCAGATGTCAAGATACGGTAGCTGTCGGTTTACTTCCAAGTCAGTGGTGACATTGATGCTGGAGTCCTTGCTGTTCAGCTGGTTGACCCACGTGCTGAGGATGTCGTCACTGCCCTCGAACAAGACCAGGTAGTCGTCCGCGTATCGGCAGAAAGCATGGACCCTGCCACCACAGTTGGCCGCCAGGAGCTCCAGATCAGCCTCCCAGTGACCCATGTACAGGTCAGCGACCACCGGAGAGTAGCTTTTGCCCATGGCTAGGCCGGTAGTCTGCCTGAACCATCGCTCCTTGTCACCGTCTTGAATGACCGCATGGCAGTTCTGGATAGAGATGTTCAGCCCTCTGAAACGCGAATTGTGTCAATCTCCGTAAGTGGAATATTAAACAGAGGCTTACATGATTACCTACATGACTTAATTAAGCTTCTGCCAACGAAATTCCTTATATGCAAACGTCAACGTCCTTGACCGTCTAAACAGAACAAATTAGACGCGAACTGTGTCAAATGTGGAACAATTTATCCTGTCAGCATTCCTCAAATTAGTGTGTGAATTCATAATTTTATCGATTTTTCCTATATTTGCTGCAGAATGCAAGTATAGGTACCTACCTGAAAAAAAAATGGTTTCATTAAAGTACGCTGCATCACCTTGATCGTCTGAGGCAAAGTGCCTTTTATACGTAGGCTACCTTTTATGCCTTTTATCGTATGGTATGTAAATTGTAACATCTTAGGTGCCATGTGCGGTCGTGCAGCCCGTCCACAAGGTGACCGCTATGGGTTGTGCTGACGCTGGGCCGGGCTGCCGGCGGTTAGGGCCGGTGGGCCGTGCTGGCACATTTTTACTAATGGTATATCTGTAGACGTGTGCTGCATCTGCAATATGACGTCACGCACGTGCCTCGGTAGTGACCACGGGGGGGGGGGGGGGGAGACGGTGGTCGGGCGGGGTCTGTGGGAACTGCGTCGTCTGTTGTCGCGCTGCTATTGTAACGTTCAAACAATGCGTTATCAAAGATACTGAATGGAGTGACGGTGAACATTGTTTTACCTTCCAGTGCAAGCGCCCTGACAGTTTGGATCTGGAGACGCGTCCAATCTTTACATCTTATCATAGGAAGCTGTCAAAATGTGTAACATCAGATAGTTATCTCAGCAGGATTAGGAACACTGAATTCAAACAAAGTGACAATTGATATCCATACATCTAGTAGACCTGCATTCGCTGTCTTGTTTCCACCGCATTACTGCCCGTTCCGTAGGTACGCTCCCACCCTGACCTCCGCCCCGCTTCGTTTTTTTTCTTTTCTTCAGTAACAGCCTGGCCGGCTCGGCAGTGTGCGCCTTCACGATGGCATCTATCAGCGCCGCCTTCCAGGGTCCCTTCCAGCACCAGAGCGCCGCTGGAGGGCCCTGGAAACGCGTCCACCTGGAGGATCACACCCACTTCGAGTGCCGCTCGCCGGAGGTGACCTCGGGTCATCAGCTGGCAGCGCTGTATGACTTTACACTGACGGCTGAGGCGGTGCAGCCGGAGCGACCGGAGCCGCTGCTGCTGCTCGATGGAGTCAGGTGAGAGAGGCAGGGAGTGAAGGGGATGGAACTGGAAGGGGAAAGGTGATGAGGGAAGAGAGAAGGAGGGGAGAGCGTTCCGGTGGAACCTATGATTGGGCATCTGTGTGACAACGGTGCTGGGTAGAGCTGTACATGCACATTCAATTAAGACAGAAGCGGGAGATAGTCTTATAGGGAGATAGATACAGATAACGAGATAGAAGAGACAAGGTAAGCCCGGCTCCTGTGTAATAGGAGCAAGAACCAGCCGTCCCATATCGGGGATAGACGAATGGATATCCATTGTAAGTCTGAATGAAAACCGGACTCACCGGCTGGTGGTGTCGCAGCGCCTTAAACCCAGAGTCTGGCCCGGATGTGTGCCTGCTCAGTGGGGCTTCGTCGGGAGAGAGGACAGGATAAAGTGGACGGGGAATGAGTGGGCTTTTCCAGCCCGGCTGGCGGACGGCTGAGTAGCCTGCCGCCTCTGAAACCGTCTCTAGGACGTCTGTGGACAGTCTCTAACCTCGGTGCCATTCTGTGCCGTCTTGGTGGCATCTCTTGACCGTCTTTAAACCGTCTCTGTGTCGGTCTGTTGTCGCCAGGACGTCACGCCTCTCTACCATCTCTGGTTACATATTTGGTTGCATCTGGTTGCATGTTCGTGCATATGGTTGTTTCCACGTAGTTTCTCTGGCCGTCGCTGTGTCTTTGTGCCATTGTGTACCGTTTCTGTCCCGTCTCTGTACCGTTCCACTACTATCTCAGTGCCCGTCTCTGTGCCGATCTATGACCGCTACTGTGCCGTCTCTAGACAGTATCTGGACCGTCCCTAAAGTATATATAGCTTATAGCCGTCTCTGTAGAGCTCCGACATGTATCCGTCCTATATCCGTCTGTCTCCGTGCCGTCTCTGTGCCGTCTCTGTCGCCGGCCCGCCGGCTAATGCATCTGGCCGTATAAGCCGGCGCTGTAAGCCGCGCCGCTGGAGATGTTATCCGGCTGAGCCGTGAGCGGCTCGCCGCGCAGAGTCGCAGAGTCGTGGCACTCATGGTCGCCCCGGCCACCTGCCGCCCAGGGCCGCGCCTTGTGCCGGGCGACCACGGCTGATCACAATCACTCGGATACCGGACAGTCGCGGAGCCGTGATCCCATTTTATATAGAGGAAATGCGTGACGGGTCGGAATGATGAATGGCATATGCCGAAGCGATGGCATTTGCATTGTCTTCTTCATATCGCAGCCTCAATTTTTAGAGCTCATTTCTGCTTCTGTCTTCTCTTTGGAAAGTGAGGACAAAATAACATCGGTATTACCACACTGCATATGCCCGGGAATGCTATTTCATATCCAGTGAAACTATTTCCCTCCTACCTGCTGATGTGCCTAATGTGATTTGTGACATCTGGCCCGACCTGACCTGACCGACAGGCTGACCTCCGTGGCGACTGACGTCATCACCACCAAGCACCACGTGTCAGTGCACGTGCTGTACGTGGCCGACACGACGGGCACCATCCGCAAGCTGAGTGTGGTGCCTCGCTCGCGCCAGACCTGCCTGCTGGAGGTGCTGCGGCCATTCAGCAAGCCCACCCGGGTGCTCACCATGAAGCTGCTCAGAGAGGCGGTCAGTAGTTCTTCACCTATCAGAGGGACGCTGGAGGGGGGGGGGGGGGGGAGTCGGGATGAACTTCTGGTCTACGGGATTGCAGTAGACAGTCACTGGGGTTGGCACCGGTGCAGCAGTTTGGTTGTTCCCCTGTCCTGGTCTGTGTGGAGTGTGGACTGTACCATCGCTCACAGCTGTTTATGAAGATTCTTTCCTTGCCATTACGTATGTGCTGTATTTACATATATCATACTGTTCCGCCATGCATATTTATCTGTACTGAGTCAGACTATCCGTTCTCGTTCCCGCCTTCCACTGCAGCAATCGTGCGTCAAGGTTTCGCAAATCGTGCTGGAAGGCGGACTTTTCGCGCTAGCCCGGCTATCCGGTGCAACTGAGTCACTCGATCCACGGCCACTGAATACCGACCTTGTTTGTCCCCACTGTGGACCCTCACCCGACCTCGGCAGTACACACAGCTGTGCAACTGCCGACCGAGCGTGTTTGCACTGCTTTGTGCCGCTGCAACTCGTACAGCGGAAGGGAACGAAGCATGCTCGGGTTTACTCAGGATTGGTGTCCTTCCGCCACGAAATCTGGCTCGACTGTGGCTCGACTTGGACCTATGGCCATATGACTCAGCTGTGAACTGCTACAGTGGGCTGTGGCCTGTGGGTCTCTCGTGCTGTAACTGTTGATTAGTTCGTTGATATCCGTCTAACGTTTACCATCTGACCCGCAGGCCTCCCTGTACCTGGGTACCGACTCGGGCCTGGTCCGTCTGCCGGTGGAGCGGTGCGGCCGGTACCGCAGTGAGGCCGCCTGTCTGGCCGCCATGGACCCGTACTGTGGCTGGGACGAGGCGCGCGCTCTCTGCACCCCGCCGCCGGGCCAGGACCCGGGCGTGGCCTCGTGGCTGCAGCCGGTCACCCAGTGTCCCGACCTGAGCCGGCCCGTGGACGGCGGCTGGAGCGCCTGGGGCGACTGGCAGCCGTGCCGCCAGCTGGAGAGCAGCGACGGCGAGGGTGAGCCGGGCGAGCCGTGCCTGTGCCGACGGCGACAGTGCTCGAGCCCGGCGCCGGCGCGCGGCGGCGCCCCGTGCGTCGGCCTGGCCGCCGAGGTGACCAACTGCACGCGCCACGGCGGCTGGACCAGCTGGTCAGCCTGGTCGGCGTGCTCCCACCCGTGCGGCGTGGCCGTCAAGTCGCGCCGCCGCTCGTGCAGTAGCCCAGCGCCGGTGCACGGCGGCCGCGACTGTAGCGGCGACGCCGAGCAGGAGATTATGTGCCACTCGAACCCGCCGTGTCCCAGCGAGACCAGCCTGCCGGTGGACGGCGGCTGGGGCCACTGGAGCGCCTGGTCTCGCTGCTCGGCCCGCTGTGGCGGCGGTCTGCGCCGGCGCCGCCGCAGCTGCGACAGCCCTCGGCCGGCCAACGGCGGCCGGCCCTGCGCCGGCTGCGAGCTCGAGTACGGCCAGTGCGGCGGCCAGCCGTGTCCCGAGCAGCGCCGCCTCACACACTGGACGCCCTGGCTGGCGGCGAATGGCAGCACCGTCGGCCGGCAGCAGCGCTTCAGGTTCGAGTGCCGCGCGCCGGTGCCGGACGCCGCGCTGATCAGGGTGTCACACGCGCGCAGCGATGAGCGCCACTGCAACGCCGACGGACAGTGCACGCCAGGTGAGAGGGACAGGCATACATCGCTGTTCATATAATACAGTGAAACAGACACGGTGATGGCTCGAGATGCCTTCCCGTGTAGAATTGTGTTTTTAGCATAATGTTGAATGATGGTATCGCTTCTACTTGAAATGTTCGAGCGTAATGAGATTCACACTCATGTGATGCTTCCGTTTTCGTTCTGAGTCATCCCATGTGGTCTGATGGTCTACCCACTTCCATCGTTTCTAACTAGATGATTCTCCCACCCAGCCCTCTGTCCCTCTCTGTCCCTCTCCGCCCCTCTCTGCCCCTCTCTGACCCCCTCTTTGCCCTGTGTCGCAGCCGACTGGACCGGTCTGGGCTGGGGTGACTGGGGCTCCTGGTCACCCTGTTCTGTGCCGTGCGGCGGAGGCGTTCAGACTCGCTCGCGCACCTGTGACGGCCTCCCCTCGGCCTGCCTGGGACCCAGCAGGGTGGAGCAGGCCTGTAACACGGAACGGTGCAAAGGTGAGCGTCCGGAGGTCGTCGCGCGTCCGGCGGGGAAGGACGGGCGTCAGCACGGCGTGAGTCACGCGGCATAGCGGCCTCACTCGCTCCCGGTCTGTGGTTAGACCTGGAGAAAATTACAGCCCGCTTCACGGGAAGAGCTGACGCAAGGGTGTGCTGACGTGCAGGAGTCCCCAGCAGCCTTGGTAAATAAAACATGCTGGAAGAAAGGGCCTCGTGCTAACGCTTTGCACAGTCACGCCTCAGAACAGGGGAGAATTGAAACAATGCATCGGCTGTTGATTGTTGACTGGTGCACGGCAGACAAGTATCGAATGCAACGTGTGATACTCGTGCTGTATTGTTTAGTGTGGAAAACATCGTGGGAATGTAATGACCTTTATGTCAGCTGTGATGCCATTTGCTGTTAGCATGACGTGAATTATGACGTGAAATGTATGTGGTATATTGTGGTATGGCGACTGGCGTGCCTCAAATGCGGTGCGTGCAGCGTGATGCATGAAAATTTAGATGTGTCTTCATGACGCTATGTCTCACATGTTTCATGACCCACTGCTGTGTTCTATCCTCACATGCATGTTTCAGGGACAGGGTATGCCTACCACATAACGCAGGACTCAGTACTCACGTATAACTCGCTCCTCCCCGGCAGGCGACTGGTCGTGCTGGTCGGAATGGTCGCCCTGCTCCGTTTCCTGCGGGGTCGGCCGGCGCAGTCGACACAGACAGTGCCGACCGCCCGAGGGCGCCGACCCCAGTGACGTCACCTGCGACGGCTCTGACGTCACTGAGGAGCCGTGCGAGATGCCCAGCTGCAGCAGTCTTGAGGGATGGAACGAATGGTGAGTGGCGTTATGCTGTGTCGATGAACCTACAGGTGTTAAAGTGAAAGTGTACGCATTATTTTGGTGCTCTTCCAGGATCTTCAACGATTATCAAGGATAAAATGTTTTATCCGTAAGCGCTATACATGATTTACCGGTACATTTTCCTTGCATAGTACCGCACTATTCCAGTGAAGACAATACACACTTCTTTGTCGTAGTCGGTATCCGCCGTCCTTGAGTAGTTTTTCTCCCATTTCCTCCTTATGCATCCACCGTTGCGTTTACTCGATAATCAGAAGGTGCGGGGCTTCTGGCGACCTTTCACTGTCTACGGCCCCTGTGCCAGGTCACTCAGTACCTGCCCTGACCTCGCCCCCCCCCCCCCCAGGTCCGTCTGGAGCCAGTGTGATGTCGGTGGAGAACAGCACCGTGTCAGAGACTGTATGGTCTCGGAGCCCGGCCAGGAGCTCTGTCAGGGAGTGGACCGGCAGAGCAGACTCTGCGTGGAGACCAACGATGGTGGGTTTCAGAGAGTGTGTGGAGATGATTTAGAAAATTGCTATTGGGTGGTGGCGGTAAAATACCTACTGATTCCTTGCTTCCGCTCAGGATATGATTAAAGGAAATAGTTCACTTTCACGAAATTATTTTTTTTGCAACGATTTATGATTTTTTATGTTCAAAATAATCAGCAAAGAAAATAAAACCTTTTTATAACAAAAGATTTTTTTCTATATTTTGAAATAGGAAGAACTTTTCAGTTTCTGTAAGGCACTCGCGATCCAGTATGAAAAGAGCATGGGTCCCGAAAATTCTTCAGAAACAGAGAAATTATCGTAGCCACCGGCATTTGGGCGATCTGCTCGATCTGATAATGTTCCCCTGAATATCCTAATTGATCAGTACGAGAATTTCTCTAGAGTTCTCGTAGATAATTTCTCTAGTTTCTGAAGAATTTTCGGGACCCATGCTCTTTTCATACTGGATGGAAATATATGCAAGGCACACATCCTCAACGCAAGACACCTTTTTCGGGACGAGAAATAGAATATCTTTGCCTAGGGTGATCGTTGGGCTGTAAAAGCTCCTGATTTATGCTCGTCTCAGCCTAAGCTACGGAACTGCTATTCCAGTTCAAAACCCATGTTAAAAAGTGAACTATTTCCTTTAAGTGCGATGATTCATTGTAAAAGTGATTCAGAGGTCCCGTTGAATTTTGACATGCGTCGTAGCTGTTTTCTCAGAATGATTTTTCTTGTTTGCTTGTATGTGTTTGTGAAATAAGTAAGACTTTTGGCCCAGGTCGACCGCTCTTAGTAATGGGAATCGTATTCGCCTGACGGCTCCCCACATTTTGTCATCAGCTTCCAGGTCTATGTCCTGAGTTGATGAGGTCAGATCACGTTTTGCTTTGTCCCAACCGTCCCCCTCTCACACCGTGCCCTCTTTCCGCAGATTCGGTGCTGATGGCGGCCACGGCTGTGGCGCAGGGCGGCGTCAGCGCTGGTCGACTGGTCGGCGCCTGCCTGGGTTGCTTCTGTGCCGGCGCTCTCCTGGCGGCCGCCGGCACGTACTACTACTTACATAGGCGGCGCTACGGTCGCGTGCCCGGCTCCAAGTACTACGACACACTGCCGAAGCCGGCGGCACCGAACGCCTACCAGAGCGTGCCCGGTGTCCAGGAGCTGGCGGAGCTCCGTAACGGCCGCGGCCGGCACAGCTCCGCCGGCAAATCGGCCGCCGAGCTGTCCCAACCCGAGAAAACGGCCACGATCCGCCGCAACGGCAGCCAACGCTACACATCGGTACTCGGGAGCGAGCTGCGCGCAAACCTGGCGTCAGACACCATCTACTAACCGCTGCCGGCGGCCGGTGCAGGACTCAGTCTCCAGTACAAAGGGTGCCGCGGCAGGGGGCCGCGCGGCGGACTGGGGCGGCCGTGGCCCGCTGTGCACTGGGTGTGCGAGAGGGCGGGCGGTAAGTGCCGCATCGCCAGAATTGTGATATCACCTCGGTCATGCTGTGATGGACACTGCGGCCATTCTCATCCATGTGTGTGACTGCGTGCGTGTGCGTTTATGTGTGTTTGTAGCGCCATTAACTATGCTTTGCGAACGGTTGTGGGATGAGACTCAGGTACCTATTTCAGTGCCTGCGAACAAATGTTATAATTGACGTGACGAGGTACAACATTAACTGTTAGGTCCGTGTCTATTTCACGGAGTTCGATCATGCCGTGCGATGCGATATTTTTTTTAAAGTGTATGCGTTTTTAATGAAGCTGTTTGACAATGTCGACCATGAGTAGGTTTAGCTAACCCGCTATCTTGCTGAGGAGCGACAATGAATGGGAACAATCGTGCACATACTGAGGTTACCTATTTCCACCCCGCCATTTGAGCGACTACTGTGCCTGTCTACCATCCGTGTTTATCAAGTGCTGATTCCAATGCATTCTAACAAGTGCGACGGTATAATAACAATTTAACAACCCGAGCGCTTAACTATTCAATGTTCCCCCGTCCCACCATCTTACAAGTTCCGCGCGATATACGATCGCTGTCAGTGTCATGCCGCCGCGTTTTGTACTGCCTTACGTGCCAACGGGGCGCCCTGGTTGTGTTGTGGACTATGCAGGACAGGGCAGGCGGGTACGACTGCCCTGTTTCGGCTGTCGACACAGAGACTGTCGACGGATGGCCGAAATACACTGGATTAGATCGGAAAACGACGCCTTCGTTGCATGTCTCGTGTGCGAGCTGGTAGCGTCCTGGCCAAAGAACCACAACTAAGTCGTATTCGTAGGCACCTCGACTGTTTCGAGGGGTTACAGACGAAATCATTTTATCACAGCTGACAGTGAAACTGGCCCGGAGAACGGGGGGACAGAGGTAGGAGGGATGCGGGTCAGATGCAGAAAGGCAGACTAGGGGGACGGAGGGTGGTAACAGGTCAAGTATAAGGATAAGGAGTGGATCAGATGCAAGAGGAGAATAATATGAGAGAGGATGGCGGGGTTGATATGCGGGGGGGGGGGGGTAGCAGGCCCACTGCTTGACACAGGATGGAGGGTTTTCTCCACGGGTTCCCATGCCGCGCGAATCTCAGAGCGGTCGCTATCTGCAGAGCGGCACGCTCGGTTCCCAGGACCAAATTCTGATTGCCGAGCGACCCGCCTTCGACACCATCCGGGAGGCAGTCCGTGGCCGCCCAGCAGCTGTGGTGGACCCACGATAGATGCCGCAGGGGTTCCCCAGCTATCTGCTCTGTTTGAGTAAGGACAATGTCGTGAGAACTGCCGAGGTGCGTCGTTGAAATATGACGCACGTGATGAACATCGTGATCCCCGGTATTTGGTTGAATCTAAAAGTGACAAGACATCCCAACTGAAGCCAGTTTGTTGTTGATAAAGCCATTTATTAGCACGAAGAAGCTGTGGAGCGGCTGTCTGGTAAAAATACGACAGAGATAAACCAAAAGCTACCGATGCAGCAATAATGCATCGCAAACCAACACCGTGTTAGAGACAAACGGGCAAAACTGGTCCTACACTTTTCAAAGAATAGCATATAGTCAAGAGGACTCCTGTATCACAAAGCAATTCTACACATTTCATAACGATAGCCATTACAGTACTCATCAACTTGTCACCAGCATTGTAGTTTGTACAGTAGGTCTATTAAAAAAGTCCCCAGCACCAGTGGGCGCTGCCTTCGCTGAGCCGAACCCCCGTCTGCCTGTCCCATATCGCGCCGGGCTCAGGTCAGGTAGGGTCAGCGAGACCGCTCGGTCCGGCCCGCGGGCGGTGGACGGGCGGCCGGTAACGCTTTCCACCAGCCAGCTGTAGAATCCAACAAACGGGACGGCCACCGCTCAGCGCAGCGAAACCGGTGTTAAAGAATGGCAGTAGATGTTCATGGCCACAATGATTATGAGATAGTCATTGTTAGCCGGTGCCCCACAGGAATGCCTAGACTCTCACGCCCTGTTGGAGGAGAATTGGGGATTGAGCATCATTCTTATAACTTAGCTTTGGGCATTTAAGTTACATTCGAAGTAGCGTCAAAAGTAGCAAAAAGAAGAAGAAAAAATACTTCAGCCAATTTTGGACCGGGTCATAACCAGGTCATGTCACTAGAGGTCATCGATGGTAAAATTTTGCTTAGACAGGGTGCGTTGCGCGCATTGGTGCATTGGGTTTCCAATTTCCATGGAAACATCAACAGACTCGGAAGCTCGCAACAGGGGCGCGGGAACTACTTTCCGACTGGGGGCACACCATAAGAGATCAACCTGGGGTCCCCTCAAATCTAGTTTTCTCACCGGTTTTAGGCCACTTATTTGTCATCCCTCGGCTTTTTCAACAAAAAAGAAAACATTTGCAAAAAAAGTGTGGTATTTCGTCTCAAAGCTGTGGGGGCACCGCCCCCACGGCCCCAGAGTGGGGGGGGGCAAGCTGCCCCCACTGCCCCCCCCCCGGCTCCCGCGCCTTTGGTTCGCAACGCTAGCGTGGAGCCGAATTCATATCAACCGCCGCAACAATGCAGCAGCGCACCGCAGCGTGCTGCAGCGCGGGGCCGTGAAACACCGCCCATGGCTATCCATGTGTCAGGGCAATCCAACCCACGTGATGGGCTCGGCCCCAGCGGAGCATGAGGTCCAGGACTCCCGCCCAGGCCCCCTGTCTCCCCCTAATTCCTATCATCCTTCCCACTCTGAAATCGACCGAAAGAGCCTAACCTAACACAGCAATCAGCTCGTTTACCGCTATGTCTGAAATCTGAATAATATTGTCAGATTTAATTAGGGTCAACGGCTAAGCATGTCAATAACAACAACTGCCACCATCGGTATTATGAGAAAAAGCAATTGCTTTTCCACAAACACTTAAAAGTTTCCATGGAAACATCAACAGACTCGGAAGCTCGCAACAGGGGCGCGGGAACTACTTTCCGACTGGGGGCTAAAACTTGCATGAAATTAATTTTACCAGCCTCGTGTTTCTCTTATCAAAACGCTTCGAATGAATCAAAAGTTGATCTTTAACCCTCGCCGGCCGAGGGGGGGGGGGCGGGTGCCGCCCCCCCCCCATAGGGTTTTTTTTCGCGATAGCTCCGAACACGCTGGCGATAGAGAGCTGAAACTTGGCATACCTGACCTTTGATCCAAGCCGCATCTTTTGACACCAACCGCATTTTTGGGTCAGGTCAGGTCACTGACCTATGACGTCATAAGTGAACCTCTGCACGGTCTTCAGATGTCGCAACTTCGCAACGCCCTCACTGCCAGAGGAGATGTCACAGGGAAATGAAACTTGCAGGATCTAGTATCCATTATGAGTCTCACAACTTGTATATCTCGGATTTTTCCTAAAGGTCATATGAGGTCAGGTCATTTTCGTGACCTCACCATTATAAGTCAATGGGGAAAAATTCAAACTGCTATTCTGGCGCCGGGAACGATCTCCAACTATCTCAAGCACACAGAATCGTGATTTGATGCACTCCTTGCAAGGTTAGATGCGTCACTTTTGCAATGTTGACCTTGCGTGACGTCATTTATGACGTCATCAAGGTCATATTAGTTTTTCGTCAATAACTCTTGATCAAATCGAGCTAGCGAGTCGGGAAAGCCACCAATGGACTCAGAAAGACCTGCCGAATCGAATGATATGCGACATGACCCCTTTCGACCAACTTCGTGACCTTAGGGTGCTGACCTGACCTTGACCTGAGGTCAACACCCCAAGTTGACCTGACCCGAACAAAAAGTATATCATTCGACGCGCCTGAGCGAGGCGAACACGATGCTGCCAAAATCGCGGCTCTGCGGCCATTTTTTGCGAAGTTATTCACCAAAAACTGAACCGTACCTTGGGGCACTTGACCTGACCTCAGAGGTCACCGGTTGACCTAGGACCTTAAAATCGGGTACCAATCTCTGCGTCTCGTAACGGCGCACACGCTCGTTTTTTCCGCGACGCGCTAGCTCCACCAGGGGCGAAACGGCGAGGGGGGGGGGTCGTACCCGCCCCCCCCCCTCGGCCGGCGCGTATGTAGAAAACCAATAGGTCCGGCGAGGGTTAAAGGTCATTTGAAAAATTTGGCCTATGTTCAAAGACATGACCTGACCAGAAATGGTCATAATGCATAGCAGGATATTAGATCCGTATCGTGGAACTTTATTAACACTTCAGATGATTTCATGAGTCAAGCATGTCTCTCTAAAAAGTTAATTGTTTTCAAAACGGGCTTCGCTGAGGAAAACTAAATATTATATAATATTATTTAATATTTAGTTTTCCTCGAACCCCGTTTTGAAAAACAATTAACTTTTTAGATATTTATTAACCTGAGGAAAAGAATAATGACGCTTCGGCAACATTAAGCATGTCTATCAAAAATAATTATTACATGGCTCATATGTAAATAAGCTGGGTGTGTGAACATGCTTGCGAGTATGTTGAACGCAACTGATATTGTTCTGTTGGCCACAATTTCTTTATTTAATTTATCCTCCCGAGTTTCTTATTTTTGTTAATGACACCTTGACGATGTCGAGAAAAAAAAAACGCTCAGGAGATTTATCAGCCTGAGATACATTCAGTATAAGGAAGGTTCAAGGGTGCTAGATTCCTTCCGTCCTCACTATCCTCAGGAAAAACCAATCAGCATCGCCCCTATTCTTCATGCTTCCCTCTCTGGACTGGAGGTCACCCCACCAGCCACCCTGTAGTTGATGTCGGATCCATTCCAGGACACATAATCCTCTTCGGGTGACCGTTTGGAAGACGGCTGGACCGCCCTGACAGGGCAATCGTCCCACGGAAACAGTCTCGCTTCCGCAGATCACTGTCGCTGGCTCGCACAACCCAATTTATACTACACCACATCCTAGTTATGTCATAGCTCAGCTCGTTATGTTCTGTTGCAAGGGCCTTTTCAGACCGAAAAAGATGGCCCCCAACAAAACAAACAATTTTCTCATTCAGTACTGTATCTTATCAAGCACCACATGTTTTCAGTGTGTTTATTATGCGTTCCGTCCAAAAAAGTGCAGTTCAATTTTCTCCCATTGACTTGAGCCTTGAGCGATCTCTAAATTGACCCGGCCTCTCTGTCAACAATGTCAAACTTGCAAAGTAAACGTTTCAAATACATATAATGTTGCCCATTAGAATCGCTGAAAGTTCTGAAGCGATCGGTTAGTCGGTGTATTTAGATATGATGAGCACAGGAACTTTCCTTGAGGTAAGTTCACTTGACGTAACCTGATGTTATGACCTTGAATTGGGCGAATATGAATTGACTTGGGCGGGAAAAAATGGGTCATTTGAAATCTTAAAATGCTAGATTTTAACAAAAATTGCAAACACTATCCCGGCCAAATATTGAGTGAGAAGGGAGCGATTCCCCGACCCCATGTTTAGCTCCTATAATTGAGCTAGCTGCTAGAGCCTCGCGAAAAAAAAAACGAGCGCTTGCGTCGTTACGTGACGCAGCGACTGGCACCCCATTTTGAAATATCAGTGACCTCTTAGGGCAGGTCAAGGGCCCCAAGGCATTTGATCGGTTCTTGGTATATAACTAAACGCATTTTCGTCATTTCGATACAATCGTGTTTTCTGTTCTCAGACGCGTCGATTTATATGCTTTTTTGTTTAGGTGAAGCAATTTAGGATGTTTACCTCAGGTCAATGTCATGTTAGGGCAACGCAGGTCACGAAGC